CCACGCCCAACTAATTTTATGTTTTTAGTAGAGACGGGGTTTCTCCATGTTGGTCAGGCAGGTCTCGAACTCCAGACCCCAAGTGATCCACCCACCTCGGCCTCCCAAAGTACTGGGATTACAGGCATGAGCCGCTGCGCCTGTGCCCCTTGGTTTTGATGTGGCTGTGCCACGCAAGTGTCTAGGTGGTTTCTTTCCTGGCCTTGACCTTTAGCATCAGTGGAGAGAGGTCAAGCCCAAGACCACAGGAACCCTCATGGAATCAGTGACTTTCCAATTCAGATTGCACCTGCTTTATGGTATCAGTGACTTCCCACTTCACACCACACTTGTCTGCAGCTAATTTCTTATGAATGGCCCTGGACCTCCAGGAAGATACAGGCCTCTAGTGACAAGCCTGTTAGGACCTGGGAAGTCTTCTGGGAAAAGCATCTTTTTTTTTTTTTTTTTTAAATTCTTGTGGATGAAGCTAACAGCTTCTTAGCACCTTACTTTTGCATATGAAAGGCCTGTTAATTACTACTTTCATCCTTAAAGCATGCAAGTGACATGCAAAATTAGCACTTGAGAAGATGCACTTTCAGACCTTGTTGTAAAGCAAAACTTATTATTTGAAGATAAATCAATTTCTGTTGCCTGTATTTGTGGTTTTCCCCCAGATGGCTAATTACCAAAGATAAATGTGTATAAACACAAGCCTTATTCCTCTCCATCCATCTTCCCTGCCTGCCTGTTTATCCAGAGGTTAATAATCGCAATCCTGTAGTGTATTGCCATAGTAATGGCTTTGATGGGCCCAGCGAGTTTGTGACCTTTTGTTACAAACAGAAGGACATGCATTTCAAGAAAGGAAGGTCATTTTATAGATGAATGTGCAGATAACTAGCCTCTCTGAAACTGAGCCAATAGGAAAAAGAAAACAGAAAACAAAATAAAAAGAAGGGGGAGAGAAAAACCCACACACAACTACACAAAACAAACAGCATAAATGTCACGGAAATCGGTTCACAGCAAAATTAAATAAGGTTCCTGCAAGCATTAATTTTCATATTTCCTGTTTATGCACTGTTAAAATTATTCCCTGGCTTTGATTTATGAGGCAGTAAGGCCATGGACTATCATTCAGACACTAACCAAATTCAGTTAAGGACTGGAACATCCATTCAGATAGAACTGACTTCCTCTGTGGTCAAAAGGGCAAGTGGTAAGTGATGTGTTTCTGGAAAGAAGCTTAGAACATCTGTACAAGGACTGAGGTTTAGATTGTCTTCCTTCCCTTCCTTTCCTTTCCCTTCTTTCCCTCCCTCCCTCTCTCCCTCCCTTCCTTCCTTCCTATTCCCCTTCCTCCCTCTCTTCCTCTCTTCCTCCCTCCATCTTTCCTTTCATCTTTCTTTCTCTCCCCCTTCCCTCCCTCCATCTATCCTTCCTTTTTCCTTCCTTCCTTCCTTCTTTCCTTCCTTCCTTCTTTCCTTCCTTCCTTCTTTCCTTCCTTCCTATTCCTCTTCCTCCCTCTCTCCCTTCCTTCCTCCCTCCATTCTTCCTCTCCTCTTTCTTCCTCTCCCCCTTCCCTCCCTCCATTCATCCTTCCTTCCTTCCAATTTTTTCTTCCTTTCTTCATTTTTCCCTCCCTCCCTCCCACTCTCCCTCCCTCCTTCTGTCCTTCTTTCCCTACTAATTATAAAGTGACACGTACTCAACAGAACAACAAACAACGCAAAGGAGTACAATCTGCCCCAATCTCCCACCCAACTTTTGGAGACAACCAGTGCTAAGAAATCACTAATTAAAGATAGAGCTCTGATATATCTAAGACATTGTTCTAAGCTGTTTACAAATACTAATTCATGTTATCCTCATAAAAGCTTCATGGAGGTGTCACTATCCCTATTTTACAGGTGAGAAAATAGAAACTCAGAGAAGTTAAGTAACCTCTTCAAAATCACATAGGCAATAACAGAAAGAGGAGAGCATCAGACCCCTGTCTGCGGGCCTCCTGGGCTCTGTTCTGTGATGCCATACTGAATCTAAGGCCAGAACACCAGTGCACTTTCTAAACCTAAAGCTAGGCACTTTCTCATGCTGGCAAAGTGTTGAAGGAACTGTAACTGACATTGAAGACACAATTTTCTGACCACTGTGGTGCTGAAAACCCTGGATGGTGTCAAAGCAAAATTGTATCACACAGACTTAGACAAGAATGACTTTATTGGAGAATGTTGCAATAGGAAAGAGAGAGTGAGTCCAATTCTAAATACAGATGCCACTCATTAAGGGGCAAACGCATGTACTTTTAAACTGGTACGATTGTTTAGAGCTGAATAGTCATGTTGTAGATTATACGATGCCAAAGGAACCCAAGATCAGAATGCAGGGTGAAATTCTCGAAGAGAAACATCCAAAGCTTCCCCGCCTCTAAGTTCTGTTTGCTTGTTAATTGCTCTCTCTATTATAGGGTGGTGCTTGTATGGTGACATGGGTACAAAATAGGAATAGATTTTTTTCCCCCATTGTCTATTGCTATGTAACCAACCATCCCAAAACTTAGTGGTTGAAACAATAACATTTATTTTGCTTACAAATCTATTATGTGTGCAGGGCTTAGAAGGGACAGCTTATTCCTTCTCCACTTGGAATCCCCCAGGGCGACTGAAAGTTTGGGGACTGTCATCATCCGAAGGTTCCCTCTCTTACCAGCTAATAGCTGATGATGGCTGTTAGAACTTACCTGGGTCTTATCTGGGCTGTTGGCTGAACACCTAGACCCTGGCCTCTACCTATGGCCCAGGCTTCCTCCAAACATGGTGGCTGGGCTTCAAAGAGACATTTATCCTGAAAAGAGAAAAAGCCAGGTAGAAACTGTATAGTTTCTTGGAATCCAGCCTGGGAAGAAGCCGCATAGAGTCACCTCTGCTGCATTTTGTTTTTTAGGCATACACAGCCTGAATTCAAGGGGAGGGATATTCCATTTGTGAGTATCCCTTTTGATGAGATGACTTTTTTTTTTTTTTGAGACAGAGTTTCGCTCTTGTTGCCCAGGCTGGAGCTCAATGGCACGATCTTGGGTCACTGCAACCTCGGCCTCCCAGGTTCAAATTATTCTCCTGCCTCAGCCTCCCAAGTAGCTGGGATTACAGGTACCTGCCACCACACCTGGCTAATTTTTGTATTTTTAGTAGAGACAGGGTTTTGCCATGTTGACCAGGCTGATCTCGAACTCCTAACCTCAGGTGATTCGCCTGCCTCGGCCTCTCAAAGTGCTGGGATTACAGGCTTGAGCCACTCTGCTCGGCCGAGATGACTATTAAACACGTTGCAGACATATTTTAAAACTACCACAAACATGATCTGTAGAAATCTGTGAATGTTTCTTCCTCTGATTTGGGCCGAAGATGATGCATTTTCTATTCCCAGGTTTCCAAAGGGCATCAGAGTTATAAGAATAATTCCTGAGGCCGGGCATGGTGGCTAACACCTGTAATTCCAGCACTTTGGGAGGCTAAGGCGGGCAGATCAAGAGGTTAAGAGTTCGAGACCAGCCTGGCCAACATAGTGAAGCCCCTGTGTCTACTACAAATACAAAAAATTAGCAGAACATGGTGGCGGGCGCCTGTAATCCCAGCTACTCAGGAGACTGAGGCAGGAGAATTGCTTGAACCTGGGAGGTGGTAGTTGCAGTGAGCTGAGATCATGCCATTGCACTCCAACCTGGGTGACAATGCAAGACTCCATCTCAAAATAAATAAATAGTAATTAAAAAAAGAATGATACCTGAGTGAGTGCTGAGAACAAGATGGACTGGTCTTTGCCCACACTGGGTGACCCTGCATGATAGGGCGTTTCCAAGCATGAAGTGGGGAGCCCTGGTACCTCGGTGTTTATCTTTTGATACTGCCAAGCATGGGCACAGAGGGAAATTCAGCTCCTCCACCCCCTTCCCTGCTGGTCCTGAAAATGAGCCAAAGTCTCTTCTTGATTGAACGGCTTTGCAGTGAATCACTATGAGAATCAGAGGAGACATAAGTAGCATTGGCTGAGTGCGGTGGCTCACGCCTGTAATCCCAGCATTTTGGGAGGTGGAGGCAGGCAGATGGCTTGAGTCCAGGAGTTTGAGACCAAACTGGGTGACATAGTAAGACTCCATGTCTACAATCTTTTTTCTTTTCTTTTTTTTTTTTTTTTAGTTAGCCAGGTGTGGTGGCACACACCTGTAGTCCCAGCACTCTTGAGAGGCCAAGGTAGGAAGATCACTTGAGCCCAGGAGTTTGAGACCAACTTGGGTGACGCAGCAAGATCCCATCTCTACAAAACATTTTTAAAAATCTAGCTGGGCGCGGTGACATGCACCTTAGTCCCTACTATTCAGAATGCTGAGATGGGAGGACTATTTGAACCCCAGAGTTCGAGGCTGCAATGAGCTATGATTATGCCACTGCACTACACCCTGGATGACAGAGCAAGACCCTGTCATTAAAAAAAAAAAAAAAAGGCCGGGCGTGGTGGCTCACGCCTATAATTCCAACCACTTTGGGAGCCTGAGGTGGGCTGATCACCTGAGGTCAGGAGTTCGAGACCAGCCTTGCCAACATGGCGAAACCCTGTCTCTACTAAAAAAAAATAAATAAATACAAAAATTAGCTGAGTTTGATGGTGGGTGCCTGTAGTCGAGCTACTTGGGAGGCTGAGGCAGGAGAATCGCTTGAACCCAGGAGGCGAAGATTGCAGTGAGTTGAGATCATGCCACTGCACTCCAGCCTGGTCGACAGAGCAAGACTCTGTCACACACACTCACAAAAAAAGAAAGAGTGAATGAAAAAAGCAAGAAAGAGAAGGAAGGAAGGAAGGAAGGAAGGAAGGAAGGAAGGAAGGAAGGAAGGAA